GCTGGGCTGCGCTGGTCGCTTGTCCGGCCGCTGTGGACGGGGAGACCAGGGGACAGGTCAGCTGCACTCACCACACCGGCTTAGTGAGGGAGGGGTCTGGGCTGGGGACCGTGAGCAGAACTGGGGAGAAAGGGAGCCTGAGAGGACATGAAAGCCCCACGCCCCCATCCTCACTCCCGGCCGGAGCCGAGCGACGCCTTTCCTGACGACTAGCAAACGTCTCCGTGAATTCTGTCACCTGCTCTAGCAAACTGGCAAACGCAAGGAAGGGTCGTGGGAACAACCGTGACGAGCTGGACAGTGAGGGGTGTCTAGGGCGGCGGGCGGGGGCGCAGTCCTGTTGGCCTCAGCCTGAGGGGTGGGCTGCCGTCTCCAGGCAGTGTCAGAATTGAGTTGAACTGTCGGCTCCCCTCCCAGTGGTGTCTGAGAATTGTTGGTTGTAGGTGTGGGGAACCCTCTCCTCACGCTGAAAATTGGGTGCAGAACCCCCAATGTCCAGCAACCACCAGAATCTAGAAGGGCAAGGCAGGACCCTCCCTCCCAGGCTTCTGGGCGCCTGGGCCTGCCGCCCGCCCGAGTGCGCACTTGCAGCCCCAGATCTTGGAGACAGCACGTTTCTGCTGTTTTCCGCCCTCCAGGGTGTGGTCTTTTGTTAGGCCTATCCTAGAAAACGAATACAACTGGTGTGTGATTTTTGGGGCCCAGTGCAAAGTGGAAATGTGGGGCCCTTTTTCCAAAAGCCAAGTTTCAGGGCAGTGGCAGTAGGTCATTAAAGCCGGCGGGGGCTCTTCTGACCCGGGTCCCGGTGAGCACCCAGGCAGCCGGCCCAGGACACCCGCCCAGGCTTCGGGGCTTCCAGGGGGCCGCAGAGGGCAGCAGGAGGTGGAGAAATGGATCGTGAGAGTGTACACGGAGGACCCCAGGAAACCCAGGAAAAGCACTCACGTCTTTTTCCGCTGGATGGCAGTGTACGTGACCGCAGAGAGAAACACAATCAGGAGCACGGCTGTGACCGTTCCGAGGCCGATCACTGCGTTATGCAGCGTCTTCGAAGTGGTTCCCCCTCCTGTTAAAACACCAGGTGGTTTTGAATAGTCTGATCAGGAAGAGGCTGTTCTGCCGCTCCAGGTGTCTGGGTCATTCCCCCATGCAGGCGCTAGTGAATCTTTACCGTGGAAATGAGATGCACACTGATCCCGGGACAGTGTGTGCCGTGGAAGGATCCTGCAGGACACGTTGAAAGCAGGTTTTCTAAACAGCCTAGTTGCCAAATGACCCACCTGTCTAATGACCACTTTGCCAAATGACCAATTTGCTCAAAGAATTAATTTACTGAAAATTGGTTTGTGCGGCATCCTGCTGATCAATACCTGGCACCTTGGCTCCACTGGGCTAAGGGCTGGGTTGGGCCCAGCCAAACTCTGAAACTTAAACCAACCTGAAGAGTTGGTTGAGCTGGTTATACGTTTACTTGTCTCTCAGCCAAAGGGCCTGCCTGCCTACTGCCTGCTGCCTGCTCGGTCACAGGAGATGGTGGGCAGAGGCTTGGGGAAGGCTGCCAGAGGCGTCCTGTGCATTGCCTGTCCATGGAGCCCTGTTGCTCTCAGCACGCGAGAAATCAGAAATCATCGGGCAGTGACCAAGGCTCTCAGGTGGAAGACAAGCTGGTCGGGGTTTATAAGCCACCCAAATTCCCAGAGATGGTACCATTCTTGTTTTAAATTGCCTGGGTTTAGGGTTTTGAAGAATTAGAAATCTCCTTTACAGACACGCCGCTCCCCCTTTCAGCATTGAGGGGACTGAAGGCTTGTGTGAACAGCCTCCTCGGGGCTCCAGCCAGCACGGAGCTGCGGAAGGCTGCCTGACTGTGGGTCTGCAAGGGGCATCTGGGGGCAGGCCACACGCCATTTCTGAGCTGCGCAAGGATTATCACCCACCTTGGAGAGTCTGCCATTTGCCCCAAAGGCACTGTTGAAAAGTCCCCATCCCTTGAGGGGTTCCTGCCTCAGTTTAGAGCTGTTACTGTCTTGTGTTAGGGTGTGGCATGGGAGGGGTTTGAGGCGTTGGAAAACAGGCCTGCTCTGCCAGACCTGCACTCCTCCGGAGAACCCTCTGACTCTTCTCTATCTCAGCACAGAACAGGCCACCTGGTGATTTTCTGCCGGTTGCTTTGTGCCTCACCTGGATTCTGGTCCGTGGGCATTCCCTGCGTGACACCTGGATTCTGGTCCACGAGCATTCCCTGCGTGACGGCCAGGGAGCCATTATGGGGCTCAGGGGTCACCCCCAGGAGATGACACATGAGTGGGTAGATGTGGATGCTGTCAAAGGGCTCAGCCAGGTAACCCTTCTTGAAATCTGGCCCAAAAGCTCTGAATATGGTCTTCATGTCCATGAAGTTGTTGTCAAAGCCGTGGTCGCCTTTGTTGACATAAAGGATGAGTCGCTGAAAAATAACAATAGCGAAAGGACCATTTTAGATTCCAAATGGTGGAAAGAAAACTGTCCCCGAGTGTGTTGCTGGTCAGAGCCACGAAATCTTTGTAACCGTGAGGACGCGGGTCTCCGCAGCGGCGGTGCGAGGAGCAAGGACCCGGAGCTCTTTAGGGAAGAGAATAGGAAACACACCCCAACAGCGTGGAGACGACACCCTGACAGTGACCGTTCTCCAGCGCAACTTGCTCTGTGCCGTGAACTGTTCGGAAGGCTTTTAAATTACATGTTAACTCCCCCTACCCCTTTTATCCTTTCACTGCAGCCAACAGGGCACTGTCATTGTCACCCGCATTTTACAGATGAGGAACCGGAGGTGTAGAGATTCGGGAACCTGCCCTGAGTCACGCAGTAGCAAATGCTGCCGCAGGTTCCTGGTCGCACACGCTCCCGTTCAGAGACGAGAGAATTTCTGAGGGCAGAGAAGTGGGTGTACATTGTGGGGGAGGGCGGGGGAGGAGGGGGAGTTAAGGACAGTGGGGTCACACCTCAGCTTTCTACTTCTAATTCCAAACCACTTCTCTCTGACGTGGGTTTCTTCCTCCTTAAAAATGGGGCAAATACCTCCTGGTGGCATAGGGGTTAAGACACAACCTATGAAACAATCTGCAGCCACTGCAGCACAAGTTAGATTCCTGGCCAGGCAGGGAGAAACACATATGGCGGGACAGACATCTCCTGTCTCGCCAGCTGCTCCCTCAGCAGTGTACTTTGGTCCATGCAGATCTGTTCCCTGCTCTGTCTCTGGTAAATCTCTCACCCCTTGGGCCTCCCCTGGTGGCACAATGGTTGAGCGCTGGGCTGCGAAGTTGCCTGCAGCCTAGCAGCGCTGGTTCGATCCAGCCACCGGCAAGGGTCCCACATGGTGCGCGGACCTCTCCTGTCGTGCCCGCTGCTCCCCTCAGCAGTGTATTTTGTCAGTCTGCCTGTTCTGTTCCCCACTCTGGCTCTGGTGAATTCTCTCACCCTCCTGCGCTTCTGACTGTACCCAGTGCTTGTATAAATAAATCTTTAAAATAAATAAATAAATCCTCTCACCCCTTGTTTCTCTGGCCTGTACCCCAATTCCTGCATAAAATAAATAAATCTTTAAAAAAAAAGGGGCCAAATAAGAAGCTCCATCTTACAGGTGCTTGGGAAAACAAAATGGAGGCACTCATGTTAGATTGCAAGCGACGCTGGCTCTCAGTCTTGGTCAGGGGGGTTTGTCACTATTTTTGCACAACGGTGACCAGGACAGGGCTGGGGGTGGCCGTGGGGTTGGGGTGGGGACATGTTGAAAGCAGCGATCAGGGCACATCAAGCGATCACTTCTGTTTTGATTTTTTCCAGACCTGTCCCTCCCTGGTGGCTGTCTCTGGGGTCTCAGACGACTCCACCCAGCTTAGAATCGACTCACCCCGTTGATGTTGTAGCCGGGATCTGTGTACATCAAGATGGGCAGGTTCCGCTTGTGTTTGGCATAATGGAAGTGCTCCGGAAACTCCTCCTTCTTGTAGACGTGGAGGTGAGGGTGCGCGTTCTTCAGCGCCTGGTAAAGATTTTCCTCTTGCCCCGGTTTGGCCAGGATCATCCCTAAGCCGCCATAGTCCACAAGGTCAAACTTGACCAGATCTCTGTACTTGACGTAGTTGGTCAAGAGGATCTCGGTGACTTCAGGCTGCTTTTTGATTGTGGTCATGCCATGGTCTGACATGATGATGACATTGAGGCGCTCTGTCAGGCCGTGCCTCTTGATGGCCTCCAGCAGGTACCCGATGGTTCTGTCAATCTGCTGGATGATTACCCTCCTATTCTCTGTCTCAGGCCCAGAGCGGTGCCCCACCTTGTCTGGCTCCCCGTAGTACAGCGTGACGAAGTCAAAGTCTTCCTTCTCGAACCAGCCCATGACGATGTCAATGTTCTCTCTCCATTCCGTCTCGTTGCTGTCGGGGTGAGTGTAGGACTCCACTAGTGCCCGCTGGATGGCCTCGCCGTCATATTTCGCTCCACTTCCGGGGTAGTGGAAGGACGCTGTCTTCCTCCCCTGCGAGCACAAGAGAAAGTTTGATCAGGGCTCTTCATCAGGCATGTCTCTCTGCCAGTCAGCCAAGTCTGACATGTCACCAGCCTTGTCCCAGTCCAGAGGCCCTAGGGAGCAGTGGCTGGGGCTGCCAGTTTTGTCCTTTATTCCTGGTGTCACTGAGTCCCACCGCTAAAACCTGTCAGCTGCAAGACATGCCATTGTGTACTGTGATACCTGGAAGAGAAATGCTGGCCTTTAAACCGCAGCACCCGAGTTGTAAGATGCACCTGAGCTCTAGAGGGGCAGATGGGGCGGGGGAAGTTCCTCAGCATGGAGGTAGACGGTACTTCCTGGGTCAGCTATGGGGCGAAGGCAAGGGACTTCTTTAATCTCAGTGCTTCCACCTGTAAGTTGCCAGAACCTGTCGGAAGCTTTGTGAGGATTAAGGCAGATAACTAAGTGCCGGGTGTTGTGGTTTGGCACATAGTAGGTTCTTTTGTCTATGTCCGGATAGAACAAGTCTCCACAAAACAGAGGTCTGGTATTCATTAGTATGAACACAGGATGCTGTGTTCACAGGATGCTGCCTGCCCCGGCATCTCCACCTTGACTGTGTTCAGAGGACCTGACCTCCCTTGGAGATTCTCCCCTGCCTAGGCAGGGTGTGTTAGCTTCAGGGGGGTGCGGCTCTATCTGGCCAATCAGAGGACACTGCATCCCTGGTCCACAGCAGAGGGGTCAGCCTGGGGCTCTTGTCTCAGCTGATGCCATGGAGATGCCATCTCTGGCCCTCTTCTGGGGCTTGTGGGCATGGGAGAAGCTGTACTGCTAGTGCCCATGTAAGGCTTGTGAAATATAAGGGTGCTTGCCAGAATGGAAGACTGCCAGCTTGCTCCCTGCACAGGGTCTTCTCAGCCACAAGCCACCCAGAGGCCGGACAACCCGGTGGTAAAAGTGCACTCTGTGCCAGGTGAGGCACGTTGCTCAAACCCTCCACCTCAGCTTGCTCAGCTGCAAGACGGGGGTGATAGTATACCCCGGGTGCTTGTGAGGGCTGAAAGCTTACCGCCAGTGGGACTGACTGAGTTTTCAGACCAGAGTTGTGGCAGTTGTAACCACAGAAGAGACTGCATGAGTGAAAATGCTCTGGAGCGATTTAAGTCCCAGGAGAACGGTCGTGTTTGAAAAGCCTTCATAAAATTACTAGGAAAAGAGGGCCTCCCCGGTGGCGCAGCGGTTGAGCGCTGGGTTGCGAAGCTGCGCGCGGCCTCTGCGGCGCCGGTTCGATCCCCGGCTGCTCCCCGGCCACCGGAGGAGGGTCCCACATGGCGCGCAGACCTCTCCTGCCGCCCGCTGCTCCCCTCAGCAGTGTACTTCGGTCCTTCTGCCTGCTCTGCTCCCCGCTCTGGCTCTGGTGAATTCTCTCGCCCTCCCGCGCTTCTGACTGTACCCAGTGCATGTATAAACAAAAAACAAACAAAGAAACCAGCAAACAAATAAATAAAGCATGCCTCCATAAAAAAAAAAAAAAAAAAAAAAAAAAAAATTACTAGGAAAAGAAAAGAGTCCTAGGTCTGCTCATCACTCGGTAAAGCTGAGATGGGCATATCTCCCCAAAGCTGCTGGTGCTATAAGTCATTCCTCATCCCAGACCTGTCACAGACTAGGCACACATCAGGGTTTCGGTTACTGAGTGACTCGTCTGGTATTTGGGGAACAAGTCCTTTTCTTTGTGTCAGCCAAACTATTGACTTGAGAACTGTTCAGTGAACTTACAGTGCAACCCAGACTGGGATGTTCTGGAAAACACTTTAAAGTTCCCTAGCTTTTGTTGAAATGAGAGTTGGTGATGGTGTGAACTCAGCCATTTGGTGTGATCATGACCAGCCATGAAGCGCTGTGTTATGACTGCCTGGTGTGCTGGCCATTCAGTGAACAAATGACAAGTGAAGTTGAGAACATATGTGTAAAATGATGCCAAAATGTCCCATGTGTGAGAGAGAAGCACAAAAGCAATCTGGAAGTTGTAGGGGATGCTATTGGGGTCCCACCAGACCCTCAGACCCAGCTTTGGGGGTGGCTGCTGGTGACTGTCAACTTGCCCCTTGTTCTGAAAAATCACCCACAGCTAGGTGGTCTGTCAGCCTCACCTGAAAGGTGTCCCGTGTTCTACCTGCAACCCTAGCAGCCCCTGGCCAGTGACTGGCTGGCAGGAGGACACAAGACCAACTAACTGGCCAAGCTGGGATTACCTGGAGAAGCAGCTTAGGCTTCAGAGCTCCCTGTGGGGTAGGCTGGCCTCTCCCCCGGTGCATTGCATGTGCTGAATCCCCGCCTCAGGCTCTGCTTTTAGGAAAGGACCTCAGATGGAAGTCTCAGCAGTGACTACTTTGTAAGGCTCGAGAGCTCTGCTGTCCATAGCTCTATGGCAAGCATTGGGCTTTCTGCCTCCAGCAGCCATTTCTACATTGTGATCCAGTTTCAGTTTCTCTAGTTTGCATTTTCCCCCGGCTGAAATGATCCTCATTTGCTTACTTACTGGTGGTCTGTTTCCTTCCTCTGGAATCAGGGGATCAGGGACCGTGTTGATAATGCTGACCACCCTTTTCCTGGCTTTTTGGCCTGGCACAGAGTGGGTGCTCACCGTGGCTCAGATATGTGTGGAGCAAATACATGAATCTCAGCTCCTTTGTGGGTAAGACACCCATCCTGTTCTCCTGGCTGACTTCCGGAAATAGTCCCAGAGACTCCTCCTTTCGTTCTAGCATCTTACCTGTCACCTCTGCAGGTAACACACTTTCCTTTCTGACAGTAGAGTCTCTATGGTTGCTTTAACTTGCAAATCCCCTAATATTTACTTTTTGTATTTCAGATTGGCATTCCATATAATTCTCCATTTTCAGAGAGGGCACTTTGTTTACCTTACATATGAATTGACTTTGCCCTGAATTATGGAACCGAGTGAAAGGGTGAAACTTTGAACATTTTGTAGAGCACAGTTTGGCTCTTTTGTTATTTCGGATAAGGTTTCATTGACTTCATGGGGGAGGAGGCAGCCCTGCATATTCAGGTGAGTTCCTGATGTTTGCTTGTGAAATTTCAGACCTTCCCACCTTGTTTTCCTGTGCTAGGTGCTTCACACACTTACCTGGAAAGGTGTTGCAAGCTGCTGTCCTAGGAGACTATGATTTCTCTCATTTGGCCCCATAGGAATTTTAGGAATTGTGCATCTCCATGAAATGAGCTCCGGAGAGAAATGTGCATGTGAGTGTGTACGCGCGTGTACACACAACCACAACCACACCCACCCACCCACCCATACTCGTTTATTTGGGACCCATGATAATCAAAAGTGCTATTTTCAAGAAATATTTCTAGAAACAATCTGAGCACTTAATTGGATGCAAAGGAGTGGATATTTACCAGTCTACCCTTTAATTAGCATAATCAGTGTTTCCAGTGGCAATTGGAAAATCACTACTTTCATTAGGTTATTTATTCTCCCTTAGTGGAGTGCTGCACCCATGTGGCTGTTACTCTTAAGTTGTTTCTTCTAAACTAGCACTTCTGATGGGCAGCGTCTTATCTACTGGGTCTGGGAGAATCCACCAGGATCTGTAGAACCAAACACTGGAGGACATGTTTCCATTTGCTCTTGCATTTTGTCTCTCGTCAGCTGATAGAATGAATGTCCATAATTTCGTGAGGCCCGTGAAGGGTCCATCACAGTTGTGCGTGGATGGGAAGGATGAGTGGTTTAGGGAAAGAAGGTCAGACCTGTCTAGGCATTGACTATGAGGGAAGAGACACTCCATGCTGCAGCGGGTGAGCGCAAGATTCACCTGGGCGGTCCCTGGTGGCAGAAGTGCCTCTGTCACGGTTAAGGTTTCAGAGTTGTGACCCCAGTTCAAATTCTAGCTCTGTCTCTGGCTGCTTTGTGACTTTGAGAAGTTATGGCTCTGCTCTGTGCCCCACTCTACCCATCTGTTCATAATCATAAGGCTCATCTACCCATTGACATACTTTCAGATATGCAGAGTGTTTGGGACATGGGTTATGCCATGAAGGTTATTTTCTGGGGTGATGTAAAATACTGGTATGGTTTATGCCTCACAGTGTAGCTCCTGACCAGGGGAGGATCGAGAGCCCAGTGAGAGTAAAAAAGAATACACTGTGATTCCCCTAGAGCTATGTTGTCTATGGGGTAGCTCCTGGCCACGTGGGGTATTAGGATTGAAACTGAGATTTAAATTAAATTGGAAATTAAATACAATTAAAAATTCAGCTCCTCAGTCTCAGCAGCCACATTTCAAGCACTCAGCAACCAGGCGTGGCCAGTGGCCTCCAGATTGGACAGCGCAGCATAGAACATATCCATCCCACAGTATGTTCCATGGGTTCGTTCTGGCCTTCAGCTGAAGGAGGGCTAAAATGATTACACGTCTGTGAAATAGAGTAACTGACAGTTTTGAGCATTTCGTTCTAAGCAGCAAAGGGTCATTATCTGAGTCGGTCTCCCATGGGCTACATAAAGCGTGGACACGGGCAGTCTCACTGGGACAACTCACGCGAGAGAGGAAGTCGTCGCTGAGGTCGCCCAGCTGCAGAGGGTGAGCTGTCGGGGATCCTGCCCCAGGAGTCTAGGTCCACTGCCTGCTGCCAGTGTGCTGGGTCACATCACCCTGAATGCCACATGCATGGCGGGTGGAACACAGAGGGGAGTGCCCGGGGCAGCATGGAGCAATGATGGTGACTTGGGGAGAAGAAGGAGGTCTATTCTGAGCGATGACTTTGAAAGTTCATAGAAAAAACACAAGGTGAATAGCAAGCACAATCCCGAGCAGGAGATGAGAAGGGAGGCATCGTGATACCTGACCTTACTATACCATAAAGCAAGTCATTAAGTCAACATGGCATTGGAATAAAAACAGACAAATGATTCGATGGAACAGAATCAAAAGCTCAGAAATAAAGCCAGTGCTTATTTCATGATAAAAGAGTCACAACCGAACAATGCAAAGGAGAGTCCCTTTAACAAACTGTATGGGGAGAAATGGGCGGCCACGTGTAAAAGAATGAAGCTGGATCACTCTCGAACTCCAGACAGAAAAATAAACTCCAGATGGATCTCCAGACAGAGATGCATAAGGCCAGTGGATGGATATAAGTAGGGAAAAAGGTTCAGCATCGCTCTTCACAAGGAAGATGAAGACATCTCATGATTTCATAGGAGGTGTCATCTCATCTCACACATGTGAGAATGACACACACGCTAAGACCCCACAGCACGCGGGAGAGGGTGCAGAGAAGAGGACCCTGCTCCATTGTTGGCGGGAATGTAACCTGGGGCCGCCGTTTTGGGAAGGGGTCTGGGTTGACCTTACCACCCTCACGGAAATGCCGTGTGATCTGGCAGTCCCACTCCTGGGCATCGAGCCAAAGAAGGGGAGGCATCAACTTAGAATATCGCAGGGGCCGCAGTGTTTCTGGCGGCGCTGTCTGCAGGAGCCAGGGCGTGGAAATGGCCGAAGTGCCGCAGGCAGGACTGGATAAAGAAGCGTCTGCCCGCCCAGTGGAATACTATTAGCCCACGAAGAAAGACGGAACGTGATCATTACAGCAAAATGGACGGAGTTCGAAGGATTTCTGTGTTGTAAAGCAGGTCAGAATGACACAGGCAAATACTGGACGTTTTCATATACGTGACAGAACAAGGAACCCCAGCAGATGCGCCAACAGAGCAAAGTCATTATAAAAACTAGTGGATACGGAAGATGAAGTGATCGTGAAATGAAGTTGAGGCTCCTGAGTTTAAGAGGCATGGGGGAGGGAGAACGGGTCAGGGAGATAAGGGATGGTGGTGGGAATAAAAAGACAGCCAGAAAGTTTTGGGGAAGCTCAGTTAGCTTTGACTTGTGCCTTTTGAAAGCAATAATGTATGGCCCCTGAACCCTTCAAGCTAAAGTTCTCTTCAGAGCTTTCCACAGTCCGAAGATGCGCTAAACAGTCAACCTCATTCCTCAGGCTTCTGTGCCTGAGTCGTAGTCGGGAATTTATTAGATCTTGTAGGGCTGCTGGGTGCAGGCCTCTGGGGGGCCCTGGAGGTGCCATCTCGTGGAGACCCGCTCATCCTTAACAGCTGAGACCCAGCGGGTGAGTCTCCGTGCCCACTGCGTCATGCCTATCTCCATTCATCTTCAATCAGCTCCGCTAAGTAAGTCAGCACCGTCATGCTCCGCAGTTCACACTGACACAGGCTGCACCACCTGCCCAGGTCACTGAGCTTTGACCCACAGGAGGATGAGAATGAGAGGTGGGGTGCTGGAAGTGGCCCCCGGGGCCATGACGTACCTGTCTCTGTGCTGTGATCCAGAGGGGCAGCACCCCGTTGTCCCACCACTCAGTCTTGTTCTGTGTGGTCTTGTGGTCGTACTTCCAGCCCTTCTCCGCGTCAAACATCAAGTTGTGAATGACTCCATGGTCTTCAATCCAGCGACCTGGGGGTATAGCAGGGATGTGTGGATAAGTCCCCTGAGCAGATGCTCACTTAACGACCACCTCCGCCACCATCCTGGCTGGCCTAGTTCCTCTGGGGCTCTAGCCTGTTTTTTGAGGCACTAACACTGGTAGTCTCAAAGGAAGGCTGATTCTTGTCCACCTGCCAGATTGGCACCGGTCTCACCGATTTCTTTTCTGGACGCATCTCTAAGAGATTGCAAGTGCATATAAAGGCACGTCATATGAGTATACACACAACAGTGCGTATTTTGCACACACGTGCCACACGAACACAGCACACTTGTATTTTCACACACCACCCCATGCACACACGTATCACACACACGTGCATACATGTCATCAACACATATAGGTAGCACACCCAATGTATATGCACATTCACATACACTGTGCGCTCACACATGTTGTTTGCTCACATGCTACGTGCTTCACACAGGTTTGCCTGGGAACAAACCTCTGTTGCCCCTCTGACAGGGTCACCTGGGGATCAGGGGTTAGACCTGGGGCCATTCTGGAGCTCCCACTGGGTGTCACACCCTGTTACCTGTGCCTTTAAACAAAGACTGCTGCTAGCTCCCTGGTTATGTGAGTGCATGGACGCCCTCCTTGTGGTGGGTAGAATTCCCAGCCTGCCGGTGTCCCCGAGCATCTGGACAGGTTCCATTTATGTTGGGCAGCCAAGTCAGCTAATTCTGAGGGAGGCTGACCCATGGACCTTTGTGCCTGGCCTGGGGCCCGCCCATCCTTGCTCCCTGCCTGAGACCTGCTGGCATTCCACCCCCTGGACTCTGGGCAGAGGCTTGGCTGGGGAGGGGTGGGGTATCACCATGATATCCCATCACCGCCCTCCCCCTGTTCAGCAGCCCAGGGGTGTTCCTACAAACACCCATTCATTAGTCATCGGCCAACAGTCACTTTTATCATAGCTGTGTCAGGCCTGACCCTGGAATCTGATGAGATATTTGGGCATTGGCAACACCAAGTTTTATCCACTATTTTTTCTATTATGGATGCTTCTTTTTACATGGAGGCAGACAGAGGGCGGATTGGGCCCAGTTCATGAAGACAAATGCCAGTGGCTTTTCTGGGCCTGGGTGGCCTTTGTTTCAGTGATACAGCTTATTCAGGCTTAGCACCATTACCTGGAATTGCTGAGATTGGGCAGAATGAAAGGGGCTTGAAATGATCCTTAATTAAACCAGACATTGGGGGCTGTGGGCATGCTAGAGGCATGGTAGAGGGCCTGGGGTCTGGAATCAGCCAGGGCTGAGTGTGGCAGCTGGGGACAGCTTTGCATGTCCTGTGAGCCTGGGCTGTCCCACCGTCAAGAGGGTAACTGCCCCACTTTACATGGCTGCTAGGAGAATTGAAGGGGGGTCAGTTGTGGTGCCTGCTGAGTATTTTCATTAGCCAGGTACCAGGTTCAACCCCGGAATGTGGTTCTCAGTGGTGGCTAATTGTCCCCTAGCGCCATCTGGGGACATGTGATCACAGTGGTAGGAGGGGTGCTCTGTTTCCACAGCGGGTGGAAGGCAGGGGTGCTGCTCAACACTGCAGAGTGCATGGGGTGCCCACCCCAGAGATAGACCTGGCCCCGAGGTCAGCGGTGCCTAGGGGGAGACACCCGCTTTCCAGTGGAATTGTTATGGGGAACAGGATGTCCTAAAGCTAATTCCATACAGGCTTCATGGACTCCACTCCCACCCCAGGCCAAAGCCAAAGACACTGGGAGCTCCAAATCCCATCACCACCCAAGGGAAGGTGGCTGGGACCTGAGGGTGGGGTTAAGCAGCCAGGTTGGTATAAAGCCAGATACGTGGGGTTGGAGGGGTTCCCCCATTTTGGCTCTCGGCCAGCTTGCAGCGTCCGGCCAGCTCTGAGAGTGCTTTTTGGGTTTCCAGGTCGGCGGATCGGGTAGGACGCATTAAAGACTTTATTTCCCTATTTTCTCCCTGAGTTGTACATTTTCCTTATTTCCTTTTCCCTTGGAAATAAACCTTTTATGAACCTTTTGTGTGTGCCTGTAGTGGAGTATTCATAAGTCCCTTTTAAGCGCGTGGGTGAGGACCCACAGCCAGGCAACCCGTTCAATATCGGGGCTGCCCTATAACAGCAGCAGAGCCCCAGCGTGACAGATGGCAGGTCCGGTTTGAAATAAGAGGGCTGCACACTCATGCCTTTTCTACTTGGGTAAAGAGAGTTCTCTGATGCTGCATCATTGGTTACTGATCAGGAATGCATCTGCACAGTCCAAGATCTAGAAGGTCACACAATGCACAGTCCAGTCTCCTCGCCAGGCCCCATGGAGGCACCACTTTCACTGACTTGTTCTGGACACATCTCTAAGCGAAAGTAAGTGCATATAAAGGCATGTCAGGTGTACATGCACATGCATCATGCACATATAACACAGGTGTATTTATACACACCACCTCATGCACACAGATGTATGTGTGTAAACATGTGCGCACATGCTATCAACACATATAGGGGCTCCTCTGGGTTACAAGGAGACCATGTCTGAATCCCCTTCGGGAAGCACTGGTGTCCCTCCAGCTCTCTAGTATTAAGCAGGGGAGTTACCTGATCCAACTGAGTTCTTTAAACTCCACTGTTTTATTATCTTTAATAAATTCTTCTAATGGTTTACTTAAAAAACAAAGATTACCAGACATTTTGGAAGGGTGGGGGTTGGATGGAGGATCAGAGATCCTTTAGGAGGCTGTGGCCCTATAGCCCAGGTTCTGTAGCCGGTGGGGTTCTGGAAGCAGCCCTGGTCATCTCGGGAGAGGCTGAGCTAGTGCTTCTTCCAGGGGTGATCCTGGGGTGTGTGAGCTGCTGAGGTCTGCCCGGAGCTCACCCCTGTCTCAGGGTGTGACAGCCAGCTCTCAGCCCAGGGAGCGAGCTTACCTGTGATGGTGGTGAAGTGGGATGGGGAGGTCATCGTAACGAACGGTGGCGAAAGGTACTTGGCCTTCACACCCTCCTTAACCAGGAGGTCCATGTTGGGGGTGTCCACGTCCTGGTCATAGTCCCAGCGGAAGCCGTCGAAGGAAATCACCAGCAGCTTGTTGAAGTTCTTTCTCCCGGGGGCAGGGTGGCCAATGGCCCAGCCCAGCAGCAGGGGCAGCAGCAGCAGCAGCAGGGACCTGAGCCCCGTCATGTCCCCAGGGTGGTGCACGCACACACTGCAGAGTTCACTGGCCCACTCCCCTGTCTCCTTTTTTTATCTGTAGCTGAACAAAGTCCAAATTGATAATTCTGATGTGCACATATTTTCTCCCATTCATTAAGGCCGTCTTCATTTTAATGGTCGTTTCTTTCACCGTGCAGAAGCTTTTGAGTGAGGGAGCCCCCCCTTGTTTATTTTTGCTTTTGCTTCCTTGCCTTAGAGTCCAGTCCTCAGAGACAGCCCTGAGGCCAATTCATGGACTGTTTTGCCATGTTGTCTTCTTTGTAGCTTCGTCCAAGTTTCAGGTCCTACATCCAAGTCTTTAGTCCATTCACAGTTAGTGTTTGAGTATGGTGTGAGATTCTTTTGCATGTGGCAGCCCAGTTTCCCCAACAACATTCGCTGAAGAGACTTTCCTTTCTCCATTGTATCCCGTTGGATTTGTGGTAGATTAACAGCTCATATAGGCTTATTTCTGGGCTCTCAATTCTATGCCAATATTCTTTTATTCCAATACCGCACTGTTTTGAACGGGATGCCATGTGACTGGTACGAGATCCACGTGGTCAGGGTGTGGTGGGGTGGTTGCAGACCTGGCACTAGGGGGTCCAGCCTATAACTGCACCCAGATGCGCTCCAGAATCCCAACTTTGCAAAGAAAGAATGTGCTCTACCTCATCCAGAACTAAAGAGACAGGCCTGAGCAAGACTCAGCTCTGTATTTTTTCCTTAAAAAATATGAAGGACATCACTGCACAGCTCTTAAATTTGAGATGGTCTCCCACAGTTGCCACCTCACTGAGGATGATTTAAACCACACCACTCTTGGGTCTGTTCCACGTTCCTCTCAGAAAGCTCATGGGCCAGAGCTGCGAGGTGCTCGCACCAAATGCAGGGTCAACCGGATGGTTTCTTTCTACGGGACACGCATAGCTCCTGACATCTGCTGTGCCTTCCTGGTGAGTCAGGAGGGGTGATGTGGCCCAGTGAGTCTGGGGTCCTTACCTTCTGCAAAATATCCAGCAGCAGCTCAGAACCTGAGAAGCCCCTTAATTTCGCATGCAGGCTCTGTTCAGAGAGAGAGGAGAGGAGAGAGCAGAATGTCAAGGGCATTTTCACAGGAACATTAAACATGCAACAGGACATGTTGGCAAAGTGCTCAGTGATGTCTCCCTGCGACCCGTCTAACTGTTAGTGGCAGACACAGGCGGCAGGACTCCTTTCCTTCAGAAGTGCCAGGTGACACCCGGAGGAGTCCCAGAAAGAATGTCAAGACAAGCTCTGGGTTCGTGTGAGCTCTGGCTACGCAGCCCCCGTCGGCCACAGACAAGCCATGTGGCTGAAGTGGTCATCAGGAATTACAGGGGCGCCAGCACGTGGTGTCTTGGCTAAAACGGACACACAGGACGTGCCTTGTCTGCACTGCCAGGGCCACTCTGCTGTCCTCTCTGCGAATCAGCAGTGAGCTCAGGCTCTCAGATCTGACTCTTCTAGCTCACATCCTCTGCCAGCAACCCGGCCCCACCACCTGCTCCCTCCACTCGGGCCACACCAGAAAAGCTCCCTTGCCTCCTCCAACTTCAGGGCCTTTGTGCTCCCGCCGCCCAAACACCTGCCCTGGCCAGTGGCATCCCTACTGCCCTTGGCCAGCCTTCCTGTTGAGTTGACACACTTCTCTGTGCTCTGCCTTTACAGCCACGGCCTCTCCTGTGCTGTCCCGTGCGTGCATTGGCCTGTCTAGTCTCTGGCGCTCCCATGTGGACAGGGCCTCCTCGGGACATGAGCTGTGGCCCTCTGGTCCTGCCTCATGGAGGCCGTCAGCAAACATTCGGGGTGAGGCTATAAGGACTAGTAACGCTCGCTGTCTCACTAAGAGCCTCAGCTGCCGCGAGCTCCCTCATCCTGGCAACAGCCCAAAGCTTTAGGACTCAGAAAACTAAGGCTCAGGGAGGTACAGTGGCTGCCTGCAGGTGCCACAGCCTTGGGCCCGCGGCTGCCCGGCCTTCCTGCAGACGGCACCTCTCTTCTGGTCACCCCTTTGTGGTGAAGCCCAGATGACAGCGGCCGCGCCCCTCTCTGGGTGCTGGTCCCGCCTAAGTGCGCCCGGGCCTGAGCGCTACGCGGCTGCTCATTCCTTGTGAACAGTGCGGTGGACACTGGGACCTGCGGAGGCTGTTAGAAAGGTTCCCATTTTGGGTTAAAAAATGTAAAGTTCCGTTGCGAGCAGAGAGGAGAGCTCGAAACGCCGAGTGTGCTTTGGGGAGGAAAGAGCGGGAGCGAGGAAGCAGCACCCGGGAGGCGGCAGCGGCCCGGGGAGCTCGGGCGCCTGACCCGCACGGAGCAGGGGGACCCCGGCCTCCCTCTCTCGGGCTGCCGTGCCCACCCACCGCGCGGTCCCGGGCCCCTGAGGCTCCGTCCTGAGCGACGCTGGCCCGGCGCGGGCGGCCCCCGCGCGCTCCCCGAGGGTCTCCGCGGCCCGGGCGGGGCTTTCCGTGCGGGCAGCGCGGCCCCTCGGTGGCCGGAGAAGCGGCTTGTAAAGAGCCACGAAAACGCGCGGGGGCCGCCCGGGCCCCGACCCCGCGTGGAGAGCGAGCGGCTGGACACCCCGGTCGCCCGCAGGCCCCGCCCGGAGGGCGGCGGGGGGAGGCGGTCGGCGCGCGCGGGGCCCGGACCCGCGCAGGAGCCGCGGCCGGAGGAGGGAGGGGCGGCCCCGCCCGCGCCCACCGGCCCGCCCACCGGCCCGCCCGCGCCCACCGGCCCGCCCACCGGCCCGCCCGCGCCCACCGGCCCGCCCGCGCCCGCCTGCCAGGGGAAGGAGCTCAGCGCGCGCGCGGCCAGGAAGCGGCGCTCGAAACTCTGCAGCAGGCGCGAGGCCTCCACGCGCTCCTCCGGCGCCATGGCGGGGGCGGGCGCGGCGTTGCCCGGGAGACGGGAGGCGTTGGCGCTCCAGAGGGGCGGCCCGGGGCGGGTGCAGCCCGGGATTGCGGGCTTGGGCGGGGACTCGGGCCTGGATGGGGGCGGGGCTCGAGGTGGGGGCGGAGCTGGGGCGGGAAGGCAGTGCGAGGGGCGGGGCTTCGGCTGGGCAGGCGGGTTCCGCCCATGTGGCGGGGCGGGGCTTGGGCTGGGAGGGCGGGGCTTGGGCTGGGCGGGCGGGGTTCCGCCTATTGGATGGGGCGGGGCTAAGGCTGGGCAGGTGGGGCTCCGCGCATGGGGCGGGGCTTGGGCTGGGCAGCCAGGGCTCCGCCTATTGGGTGGGGCGGGGCTTGGGCTTGGCAGGCGGGGCTCCGCTTATGGGGTGGGGCTTGAGCTGGGCTGGCGCGGCTCCGCTCATGGGGCGGTGCGGGCGATGCTCCGGCCGTGGGGGCGGGCCTAGACCGCTTTTTGCGCCGCGGGAGGCGGGGCCCGAGGCGCGATGGGCGGGGCAGGGCTCGGGGGCGGGGCCAGAGCGCGGCGGCGGGTTCGCGCCCGGCGGAGCGACGAGGCCCGGGAGCGCCCGCTCGGCGCGGCCCAGGTAGCCCTTCCCGCCCCGGCGCGGGTCTCCTGGCGGGCTGGGGCGGGACGTGCGCGCTCCTGCCCGCGACCCCGCCGTGGACCCGCCGGGAGCGCCGGCCTCGGTCCCGCGCGGGTCGGGGCTTCTCCTCAGCGGCGTCCGCGCGGGCCCCGCGCCCTTGCGGCCGAAGGGGCGTCGAGGCCGGGGCGCCCGCACCCCAGCCCTCGGGGCCGCGCCGCTTCGGGTCCGCGCTCGCCGGGGCCTGTTCGGGGCCCGGAGGCCAGTCAGGCGGGGCCGGGCCCAGTCCCGGAGCGGCGCCCCCAGAGCCCGCGGACCGCCGGGCGGGCGCCGGGACCCCACAGCCGGCCGCGGGCGAGCTCGGGGCGCCGGGCTGAGTGGACCGACAAGTGGGGTTCCCGCGGACCCGGGTCGGGGTGACCGCCCGCGGCAGCCCGGGGCGTGGGGCCGGGCGGGATCTGAGAGCTCCTCGCCGGGGCTACTGCGGGCTGGGGCGGGCGTGACCCCCAGTAGGCGCGGCCCCCCCCTACCCCCCCCCCCCGGGGGCCTCCCCCGCGCGGTTCTGCCGCCGCACCACGTGGGCTCGGGGCCACACACACATCGTCCCCCTTTATTCCCCCACTCGGGAGGCGGCCGGGGCGCTGCTGGGAGTTTACAAGCAAGGACGGTGTCGGCCCGGGGTGTCCCCGGCCCGGGGGCCCCGAGCGGGAGGCGCACGGGGATCCCGACGGGGCGAGTCTCCGTGGCAGCTTCAGAAGGCGGTCGCGCCCCGCGGCTCCGCTGGGCTGCGCTGGTCGCTTGTCCGGCCGCTGTGGACGGGGAGACCAGGGGACAGGTCAGCTGCACTCACCACACCGGCTTAGTGAGGGAGGGGTCTGGGCTGGGGACCGTGAGCAGAACTGGGGAGAAAGGGAGCCTGAGAGGACATGAAAGCCCCACGCCCCCATCCTCACTCCCGGCCGGAGCCGAGCGACGCCTTTCCTGACGACTAGCAAACGTCTCCGTGAATTCTGTCACCTGCTCTAGCAAACTGGCAAACGCAAGGAAGGGTCGTGGGAACAACCGTGACGAGCTGGACAGTGAGGGGTGTCTAGGGCGGCGGGCGGGGGCGCAGTCCTGTTGGCCTCAGCCTGAGGGGTGGGCTGCCGTCTCCAGGCAGTGTCAGAATTGAGTTGAACTGTCGGCTCCCCTCCCAGTGGTGTCTGAGAATTGTTGGTTGTAGGTGTGGGGAATCCTCTCCTCACGCTGAAAATTGGGTGCAGAACCCCCAATGTCCAGCAACCACCAGAATCTAGAAGGGCAAGGCAGGACCCTCCCTCCCAGGCTTCTGGGCGCCTGGGCCTGCCGCCCGCCCGAGTGCGCACTTGCAGCCCCAGATCTTGGAGACAGCACGTTTCTGCTGTTTTCTGCCCTCCAGGGTGTGGTCTTTTGTTAGGACTATCCTAGAAAACGAATACAACTGGTGTGTGATTTTTGGGGCCCAGTGCAAAGTGGAAATGTGGGGCCCTTTTTCCAAAAGCCAAGTTTCAGGGCAGTGGCAGTAGGTCATTAAAGCCGGCGGGGGCTCTTCTGACCCGGGTCCCGGTGAGCACCCAGGCAGCCGGCCCAGGACACCCGCCCAGGCTTCGGGGCTTCCAGGGGGCCGCAGAGGGAGGTGGAGAAATGGATTGTGAGTGTGTACACGGAGGACCCCAGGAAACCCAGGAAAAGCACTCACGTCTTTTTCCGCTGGATGGCAGTGTACGTGACCGCAGAGAGAAACACAATCAGGAGCACGGCTGTGACCGTTCCGAGGCCGATCACTGCGTTATGCAGCGTCTTCGAAGTGGTTCCCCCTCCTGTTAAAACACCAGGCGGTTTTGAATAGTCTGATCAGGAAGAGGCTGTTCTGCTTCTCCAGGTGTCTGGGTCGTTCCCCCATGCAGGTGCTAGTGAATCTTTATTGTGGAAATGAGATGCACACTGATCCCGGGACAGTGTGTGCCGTGGAAGGATCCTGCAGGACACGTTGTTGAAAGCCGGTTTTCTAAACAACCTAGTTGCCAAATGACCCACCTGTCTAATGACCACTTTGCCAAATGACCAATTTGCTCAAAGAATTAATTTACTGAAAATTGGTTTGTGCGGCATCCTGCTGATCAATACCTGGCACCTTGGCTCCACTGGGCTAAGGGCTGGGTTGGGCCCAGCCAAACTCTGAAACTTAAACCAACCTAAAGAGTTGGGTGAGTTGGTCATTAGTTTACCTGGCCCTCGGCCAAAGGGCCTGCCTACTGCCTGCTGCCTGCTGCCTGCTTGGTCACAGGAGATGGTGGGCAGAGGCTTGGGGAAGGCTGCCAGAGGCGTCCTGCGCATTGCCTGTCCATGGAGCCCTGTTACTCTCAGCACGCGAGAAATCAGAAATCATCGGGCAGTGACCAAGGCTCTCAGGTGGAAGACAAACTGGTCGGGGTTTATAAGCCACCAAATTCCCAGAGATGGTACCATTCTTGTTTTAAATTGCCTGGGTTTAGGGTTTTGAAGAATTAGAAATCTCCTTTACAGACACGCCGCTCCCCCTTTCAGCATTGAGAGGACTGAAGGCTTGTGTGAACAGCCTCCTCGGGGCTCCAGCCAGCACGGAGCTGCGGAAGGCTGCCTGACTGTGGGTCTGCAAGGGGCATCTGGGGGCAGGCCACATGCCATTTCTGAGCTGCGCAAGGATTATCACCCACCTTGGAGAGTCTGCCATTTGCCCCAAAGGCACTGTTGAAAAGCCCCCATCCCTTGAGGGGTTCCTGCCTCAGTTTAGAGCTGTTACTGTCTTGTGTTAGGATGTGGCATGGGAGGGGTTTGAGGCGTTGGAAAACAGGCCTGCTCTGCCAGACCTGCACTCCTCCGGAGAACCCTCTGACTCTTCTCTATCTCAGCACAGAACAGGTGATTTTTTGCCGGTTGCTTTGTGCCGCACCTGGATTCTGGTCCACGAGCATTCCCTGCGTGATGGCCAGGGAGCCATTATGGGGCTCAGGGGTCACCCCCAGGAGCCGACACATGAGTGGGTAGATGTGGATGCTGTCAAAGGGCTCAGCCAGGTAACCCTTCTTGAAATCTGGCCCGAAAGCTCTGAATATGGTCTTCATGTCCATGAAGTTGTTGTCAAAGCCGTGGTCGCCTCTGTCTATATAAAGGATGCGTTCCTGAAAAATAATAATAGCAAAAGGGCCTTTTTAGATTCCAAATGGTGGAGAGAAAACTGTCCCCGAGTGTGTTGCTGTTCAGAGCCACGAAATCTTTGTAACCGTGAGGACGTGGGTCTCCGCAGCGGCGGTGCGAGGAACAAGGACCCGGAGCTCTTTAGGGAAGAGAATAGGAAACACACCCCAACAGCGTGGAGACGACGCCCTGACAGTGACCGTTCTCCAGCGCAACTTGCTTTGTGCCGGGAATTGTTCGGAAGGCTTTTAAATTACATGTTAACTCCCCCTACCCCTTTTATCCTTTCACTGCAGCCCACAGGGCACTGTCATTGTCACCTGCATTTTACAGATGAGGAACCGGAGGTGCAGAGACTCGGGAACCTGCCCTGAGTCACGCAGTAGCAAATGCTGCCGCAGGTTCCTGGTCCCACACGCTCCCGTTCAGAGTCGAGAGAATTTCTGAGGGCAGGGAAGTGGGTGTACATCATGGGGGAGAGCGGGGGAGGAGGGGGAGGTAAGGAGGACAGTGGGGTCACACCTCAGCTTTCTACTTCTAATTCCAAACCACTTCTCTCTGACGTGGGTTTCTTCCTCTTTGAAACTGGGGCAAATAAGAAACTCTGTCTTGCAGGCGCTTGGGAAGACAAAATGGAGTCATTTGTGTGAGCTTGTGAAGCATTGGGCCCTCCGTCTTGGTCAGGGGGGTTTGTCACCATTTTTGCACAACGGTGACCAGGACAGGGCTGGGGGGTGGCCGTGGGGTGGGGTGGGGACATGTTGAAACCAGCGATCAGGGCACATCAAGCGATCACTTCTGTTTTGATTTTTTCCAGACCTGTCCCTCCCTGGTGGCTGTCTCTGGGGTCTCAGACGACTCCACCCAGCTTAGAATCGACTCACCCCGTTGATGTTGTAGCCGGGATCTGTGTACATCAAGATGGGCAGGTTCCGCTTGTGTTTGGCATAATGGAAGCGTTCCGGAAACTCCTCCTTCTTGTAGACGTGGAGGTGAGGGTGCGCGTTCTTCAGCGCCTGGTAAAGCTTTTCCTCTTGCCCCGGTTTGGCCAGGATCATCCCTAAGCCGCCATAGTCCACAAGGTCAAACTTGACCAGGTCACTGTACTTGATGTAGTTGGTCAAGAGGATCTCGGTGACTTCAGGCTGCTTTTTGATCGTGGTCATGCCATGGTCCGACGTGATGATGACGTTGAGGCGCTCGGTCAGGCCGTGCCTTTTGATGGCCTCCAGCAGGTACCCGATGGTTCTGTCTATCTGCCGGATCATCACCCTCCTGTTCTCCGTCTCGGGCCCGAGGCTATGCCCCACACTGTCTGGCTCCCCGTAGTACAGCGTGACGAAGTCAAAGTCTTCCTTCTCGAACCAGCCCATGATGATGTCGATGTTCTCCCTCCATTCCGTCTCGTTGCTGTCGGGGTGATCGTGGGACTTTATTAGTGCCCGCTGGACAGCCTCTCCATCATATTTCACTCCGCCTCCGGGGTAGTGGAAGGATGCTGTCTTCCTCCCCTGTGAGCACAAGAGAAAGTTTGATCAGGGCTCTTCATCAGGCATGTCTCTCTGCCAGTCAGCCAAGTCTGACGTGTCACCAGCCTTGCCCCAGTCCAGAGGCCCTAGGGAGCAGTGGCTGGGGCCGCCAGTGTTGTCCTTTATTCCTGGTGTCACTGAGTCCCACCGCTAAAACCTGTCAGCTGCAAGACATGCCATTGTGTACTGTGATACCTGGAAGAAAATTGCTGGCCTTTAAACCACAGCACCCCAGAGTTGTAAGATGCACCTGAACTCTAGAGAGGGCAGATGGGGCGGGGAAGTTCCTCACATGAAGGTAGAGGGTACTTCCTGGGTAGGCGAGGGAAGGGACTTCTTTATTCTTAGCACTCCCACCTGTAAATTGCCAGAACCTGTTGGAAGCTTTGTGAGGATTAAGGCAGATAACTAAGTGCCCATTGTCATGGTTTGGCACGTAGTAGTTTCTTTTGTGTGTCTCCAGATAGAACAAGCCTCCACAAACCTGAGGTCTGGTGTTCATTCATATGTTTGCCTGCCTCAGCGTCTTCACCCTATCTCTATTCAGAGGACCTGACCTCCCCTGGAGATTCTTCCCGGCCTAGGTGGGTTATATTGGCTTCAGGGGTTGAGCGGCTCTATCTGGCTAATCAGGGGAAACTGCATCCCCAGACCACAGCAGAGGGTTCAGCCTGGTGACAAGGAGATGCCATCTCCGGCCCTCTTCTGGGGCTGGTGGGCATGGGAGAAGCTGTACTGCTGGTGCCCATGTCTAAGGCTTGTGAAATATGAGGGTGCTTGCCAGAAGGGAAGACTGCCAGCTTGCTCCCTGCACAGGGTCTGCTCAGCCGCGGGCCACCCAGAGGCGGGACAACCTAGTGGTGAAAGTGCGCTCTGTGCCGGATGCTGGGTGCCCGGTGATGCACGTTGCTCAAACACTGCATCTCAGCTTGCTCACCTGCCAGACGGGGGTGATAGTGTACCCCGGGTGCTTGTGAGGGCTGAAGGCTTACCGCCAGTGGGACTGAGTTTTCAGACTGGAGTTGTGGCGGTTGTAGCCACAGAAGAGACTGCATGAGTGAAAATGCTCTGGAGCGATATACTCCCAGGAGAACGGTTGTGTTTGACAAACCTTCATAAAATTACTAGGAAAAGAAAAGAGTCCAAGGTCTTCTCATCAGTGGGTAAAGCTGAGATGGGCATATCTCCCCAAAGCTGCTGGCGCTGTAAGTCATTCCTCACCCCAGACCTGACACAGACTAGGCACACATCAGGGTTTTGGTTACTGAGTGACTCGTCTGGTATTTGGGGAACAAGTCCTTTTCTTTGTGTCAGCTACACTAGTGATTTGAAGACTGTTCAGTGAATTTCTTGTGCAACCCAGGCTGGGATGTTTTGGAAAACACTTTAAAGTTTCCTGGATTTTGTTGAAATGCGAGATGGTGATGGTATGAACTAGGCCATTTGGTGTGTACATGACTGACCACGAAGAGCTGTCTGATGATTGCCTGGTGTGCTGGCCATTCAGTGAACAAATGACAAAGGAAGTTGAGAACAAATGAGCAAAATGATGCCAAAATGTCCCATGACAGAGAGAGAGAGAAGTAGGAAAGCAATCTGGAAGTTGTAGGGGTTGCTCTTGGGCCCCACCCAAATCCCCAGACCCACCTTTGGGGGTAGCTGCTGGTGACTGTCAACTTGCCCCTTGTTCTGAGAAATCACCCACAGCTAGGTGGTCTGTCAGCCTCACCTGAAAGGTGTCCTGTGTTCCAACTGCAACCCTAGCAGCCCGTGGCCAGTGACTGGCTGGCAGGAGGACACAAGACCAACTAACCGGACTCAGGTAGGGATTACCTGGAGAAGCAGCTTAAGCTTCAGAGCTCCCTGTGGGGTCAGCTGGGCTCTTCCCCGGTGCATTGAATGTGCTGAATCCCCGCCTCAGGTTATGCTTTTAGGAAAGGACCTCAGATGGAAGTCTCAGCAGTGACTGCTTTGTAAGGCTCGAGAGCTCTGCTGTCCATAGCTCTATGGCAAGCATTGGGCTTTCTGCCTCCAGCAGCCATTTCTACATTGTGATCCAGTTTCAGTTTCTCTAGTTTGCATTTTCCCCCAGCTGCAATGATCTTCATTTGCTTACTTATTTGTGGTCTGTTTCCTTCCTCTGGAATCAGGGAGTCAGGGACTGTGTCGATAATGCTGACCACCCTTTTCCTGGCTTTTTGGCCTGGCACAGAGTGGGTGCTCACCGTGGTTCAGATATGTGTGGAGCAAATGCGCGAAGATCAGCTCCTTTGTGGGTAAGACACCCATCTTGTTCCCCTGGCTGACTTCCGGAAATAGTCCCAGAGACGACTCCTTTCGTTCTAGCATCTTACCTGTCACCTCTGCAGGTAACACACTTTCCTTTCTGACAGTAGAGTCTCTATGGTTGCTTTAACTTGCAAATCCCCTAATATTTACTTTTTGTATTTCAGATTGGCATTCCATATAATTCTCCATTTTCAGAGAGGGCACTTTGTTTACCTTACATATGAATTGACTTTGCCCTGAATTATGGAACCGAGTGAAAGGGTGAAACTTTGAACATTTTGTAGAGCACAGTTTGGCTCTTTTGTTATTTCGGATAAGGTTTCATTGACTTCATGGGGGAGGAGGCAGCCCTGCATATTCAGGTGAGTTCCTGATGTTTGCTTGTGAAATCTCAGACCTTCCCACCTTGTTTTCCTGTGCTAGGTGCTTCACACACTTACCTGGAACGACATTGCAAGCTGCTGTCCTAGGAGACTATGATTTCTCTCATTTGGCCCCATAGGAATTTTAGGAATTGTGCATGTCCATGAAATGAGCTCCAGAGAGAAATGTGCATGTGAGTGTGCTTGTTTGCATGTGCGCCCCCCCCCCCACACACACATACACACACACACATACACCCATACTTGTTTATTTGGGACCCATGATAATCAAAAGTGCTATTTTCAAGAAATACTTCTAGAAACAATCTGAGCACTTAATTGGATGCAAAGGAGTGGGTATTTACCAGTCTACCCTTTAATTAGCATAATCAGTGTTTCCAGTAGCAATTGGAAAATCACTACTTTCATTAGGTTATTTATTCTCCCTTAGTGGAGTGCTGCACCCATGTGGCTGTTACTCTTAAGTTGCTTTTTCTAAGCTAGCACTTCTGGTGGGCAGCGTCTATTTACTGGGTCTGGGAGAATCCTCCAGGATCTGTAGAACCAAACACTGGAGGACATGTTTCCATTTGCTCTTGCATTTTGTCTCTCGTCAGCTGATAGAATGAATGTCCATAATTTCGTGAGGCCCGTGAAGGGTCCATCACAGTTGTGCGTGGATGGGAAGGATGAGTGGTTTAGGGAAAGAAGGTCAGACCTGTCTAGGCATTGACTATGAGGGAAGAGACAGACTCCATGCTGCAGCGGGTGAGCGCAAGATTCACCTGGGCGGTCCCTGGTGGCAGAAGTGCCTCTGTCACGGTTAAGGTTTCAGAGTTGTGACCCCAGTTCAAATTCTAGCTCTGTCTCTGGCTGCTTTGTGACTTTGAGAAGTTATGGCTCTGCTCTGTGCCCCACTCTACTCATCTGTTCATAATCATAACGTTCATCTACCCATTGTCATACTTTCAGGTGTGTAGAGTGTTTGGTGTCTGGGCCGAGCCATGAGGGTTATGTTCTGGGGAGGACGGAATTTACTGGTATGGTTTATGCCTCAAAGTGTAAGCACCTGACCAGGCAAGGAATGAGAGCCCAGTGAGAGTAAAAAAAGAATACACTGTGATTCCCCTAGAGCTATGTTGTCTATGGGGTAGCTCCTGGCCACGTGGGGTATTAGGATTGAAACTGAGATTTAAATTAAATTGGAAATTAAATACAATTAAAAATTCAGCTCCTCAGTCTCAGCAGCCATATTTCAAGCACTCAGCAACCAGGCGTGGCCAGTGGCCTCCAGATTGGACAGCGCAGCATAGAACATATCCATCCCACTGTATGTTCCATGGGTTCATTCTGGCCTCCAGCTGAAGGAGGGCTAAAATGATTACACGTCTGTGAAATAGAGTAACTGACAGTTTTGAGGATTTCGTTCTAAGCAGCAAATGGTCATTATCTGAGTCAATCCCCAAGGGGCTACATTAAGCGTGGACTCGGGCAGTCTCATTGGGACAACTCATGGGGGAGAGGAAGTTGTCGCTGAGGTCGCCCAGCTGCAGAGGGTGAGCTGTCGGGGATCCTGCCCCAGGAGTCTAGGTCCACTGCCTGCTGCCAGTGTGCTGGGTCACATCACCCTGCAATGCCACATGCATGGCGGGTGGAACACAGAGGGGAGTGCCCGGGGCAGCATGGAGCAAAGATGGTGACTTGGGGAGAAGAAGGAGGTCTGTTCTGAGCGATGACTTTGAAAGTTCGTAGAAAAAACACAAGGGGAATAGCAAGCACAATCCCGAGCAGGAGATGAGAAGGGAGGCATCGTGATACCTGACCTTACTATACCATAAAGCAACAGTCATTAAGTCAACATGGCATCGGAATAAAAACAGACAAATGATTCGATGGAACAGAATCAAAAGCTCAGAAATAAAGCCAGTGCTTATTTCATGATAAAAGAGTCACAACCGAACAATGCAAAGGAGAGTCCCTTTAACAAACTGTATGGGGAGAAATGGGCGGCCACGTGTAAAAGAACGAAGCTGGATCACTCTCGAACTCCAGACAGAAAAATAAACTCCAGATGGATCTCCAGACAGAGATGCATAAGGCCAGTGGATGGATATAAGGATGGAAAAAGGTTCAGCATCGCTCTTCACAAGGAAGATGAAGACATCTCATGATTTCATAGGAGGTGTCATCTCATCTCACACATGTGAGAATGACACACACGCTAAGACCCCACAGCACGCGGGAGAGGGTGCAGAGAAGAGGACCCTGCACCATTGTTGGCGGGAATGTAACCTGGGGCCGCCGTTTTGGGAAGGGGTCTGGGTTGACCTTACCACCCTCACGGAAATACCGTGTGATCTGGCAGTCCCATCCCTGGGCATCAAGCCAAAGAAGCAGAGGCATCAACTTAAAAAATTGCAGGGGCCGCAGTGTTTCTGGCGGCGCTGTCTGCAGGAGCCAGGGCGTGGAAACGGCCGAAGTGCCGCAGGCAGGACTGGATAAAGAAGCGTCTGCCCGCCCAGTGGAATACTATTAGCCCGCGAAGAAAGACGGAACGTGATCGTTACAGCAAAATGGAAGGAGTTCGAAGGATTTCTGTGTTGTAAAGCAGGTCAGAATGACACAGGCAAATACTGGACGTTTTCATATACGTGACAGAACAAGGAACCCCAGCAGATGCGCCAACAGAGCAAAATCATTATAAAAACTAGTGGATACGGAAGATGAAGTGATGGTGAAATGAAGTTGAGGCTCCTGAGTTTAAGAGGCATGGGGGAGGGAGAACGGGTCAGGGAGATAAGGGATGGTGGTGGGAATAAAAAGAGAGCAAGAAAGTTTTGGGGAAGGTCAGTTAACTTTGACTTGTGCCTTTTGAAAGCAATAATGTATGGCCCCTGAACCCTTCAAGCTAAAGTTCTCTTCAGAGCTTTCCACAGTCCGAAGATGCACTGAACAGTCAACCTCATTCCTCAGGCTTCTGTGCCTGAGTCATAGATGGGAATTTATTAGATCTTGTAGGGCTGCTGGGTGCAGGCCTCTGGGGGGCCCTGGAGGTGCCATCTCGTGGAGACCCGCTCATCCTTAACAGCTGAGACCCAGCGGGTGAGTCTCCGTGCTCACTGCGTCATGCCTATCTCCATTCATCTTCAATCAGCTCCGCTAAGTAAGTCAGCACCGTCATGCTCCGCAGTTCACACTGACACAGGCTGCACCACCTGCCCAGGGTCACTGAGCTTTGACCCACAGGAGGATGAGAATGAGAGGTGGGGTGCTGGAAGCGGCCCCCGGGGCCGTGACGTACCTGTCTCTGTGCTGTGATCCAGAGGGGCAGCACCCCGTTGTCCCACCACTCAGTCGTGTTCTGTGAGGTCTTGTGGTCGTACTTCAAGCCCTTCTCCGCATCAAACATCAAGTTGTGAATGACTCCATGGTCTTCAATCCAGCGACCTGGGGGTATAGCAGGGATGTGTGGATAAGTCCCCTGAGCAGATGCTCACTTAACGACCACCTCCGCCACCATCCTGGCTGGCCTAGTTCCTCTGGGGCTCTAGCCCCAGGGTCATTTTGTAATATTTAAAATTTGCTACTAACACTGGTAGTCTCAAAGGAGGACTGATCCTGTGTCCACCTGCCAGATTGGCACCGGTCTCACCGATTTCTTTTCTGGACACATCTCTAAGAGATTGCAAGTGCATGTAAAGGCACATCATATGAGTATACACACAACAGTGCATATTTTGCACACACATGTGCAACACGTGCACAACACACATGTATTTTCACACACCACTTCATGCACACACGTATCACATACACGTGCATACATGTCATCAACACATAGGTAGCACACCCAATGTATGTGCACATTCACATACACTGTGTGCACACACATGTTGTTTGCTCAAATGCTGCATGCTTCACACAGGTTTGCCTGGGAACAAACTTGTTGCCCCTCTGATAGGGTCTCCTGGGGCTCAGGGGTTAGACCTGGGGCCATTCTGGAGCTCCCACTGGGTGCCACACCGTTACCTGTGCCTTTAAACAAAGACTGCTGCTAGGTCCCTGGTTATGTGAGTGCATGGACGCCCTCCTTGTGGTGGGTAGAATTCCCAGCCTGCCGGTGTCCGCGAGCACGTTCCATTTATGTTGGGCAGCCAAGTCAGCTAATTCTGAGGGACGCTGACCCATGGACCTTTGTGCCTGGCCCGGGCCCCGCCCATCCTTGCTCCCTGCCTGAGACCTGCTGGCCTTCCACCCCCTGGACTCTGGGCAGAGGCTCGGCTGGGAGGGGTGGGGTATCACCATGATATCCCATCACCTCCTTCCCCCTGTTCAGCTGCCCAGGAGTGTTCCTACAAACACCTGTTCATTAGTTATCAGGCAACAGTCGCTTTTATCATAGTTGTGTCAGGCCTGACCCTGGAATCTGATGAGGTCTTTGGGCGTTGGCAACACCAGCTTTTAGCCACTACTTTTTCTATTACGGATGCTTCTTTTCACATGAAGGCAGACAGAGGGTGACGGGGCCCAGTTCATGAAGACAAATGCTTTTCTGGGCCTGGGTGGTCTTTGTTTCAGTGAAACAGCTTATTCAGGCTTAGCCCCACTGCCTGAAAGTGTTGAGATTGGGCAGAATGAAAGAGGCTTGCAATGATCCTTAATTAAACCAGACACTGGGGGGCTGTGGGCACGCTAGTGGCAGGGGTGGAGGGCCCGGGGTCTGGAATCAGCCAGGGCTGAGTGTGGCAGCTGGGGACAGCTTCGTATGTCCTGTGAGCCTGGACCGTGCCACCGTCAAGAGGGTGGCACTTTACTGCCCCACTTTACTGCCCCACTTTACATGGCTGCTAGGAGAATTGAAGGGGGGTCAGTTGTGGTGCCTGCTGAGCATTTTCATAAGCCAGGTACCAGGTTCAACCATGGAAGACAGGTTCCTAGTGGGGGCCAATTGTCCCTCGGTGAGCATCTGGTGACATCTGGAGACAGTTTGATCACAGTGGGAGGAGGGGTGCTCTGTTTGCACAGTGGGTGGAAGGTAGGGGTGCTGCTCAACACTGCAGAGTGCATGGGGTGCCCACCCCAGAGACAGACCTGGCCCCGAGGTCAGCAGTGCCGAGTGGGAGACACCCACTTTCCAGTGGAAGCAGACCCCTCCCAGTGCGACAGATGGCAGGTCCGGTTAGAAATAAGAGGGCCGCATGCTCATGCCTTTTCTGCTTGGGTGAAAGAGAGTGGTTCGCTGATGCTGCATCGTTGGTTATTGATCAACAATGCATCGGCACCGCCTGAGATCTAGAAGGTCACACAGGGCATAGTCCAGGCTCCTCCCCAGGCCCCCATGGAGCACCGGTCTCACCGACTTCTTGTTCTGGATGCATCTCTAAGAGATTGCAAGTGCATGTAAAGGCACGTCATGTGAGCACACACACACCAGTGATATTTTGCACACACGTGTGCCACACGTGCACAACACACATGTGTATTTTCACACTCCACCCCATGCACATGCATATCACACACATGCGCGTACATGTCATCAACACATATAGGTAGCACACCCAACGTACATGTGCATTTACATACACTGTGCACACACATGTTGTTTGCTCATATGCTACATGCTTCACGCAGGTTTGCCTGTCGCTTTCCTTATTTTCACTGCTGTGGAAGCTTCCTATGAGGCACAAAGCTTCATCACCTTTTCCACGAGAGCCGACCGAGGAGGGTCACCTGGTTTGTCCAGGACTTTCACAGCCACCCGCCTCGGGACATGTGGTGGTTTCCATTCTGTTGCCGTTACAACCGCCAGGGCCCCGAGCGCCCTGTGTGCAGGTCACTGCCGCTGAGCTCAGGCAGCCCTATCCGGTCCTGCTGGCCAGAGGACTTGTGTTGGCTCTTGCCAGTCTTCCCCTTTGTGGCTGGACCCATTTCCATTCCCCCTGGCAAGGCACAGAGGAGTCGGGGTCATTTTGTAATATTTAAAATTTGCTCTCACTGTTTACATCTTGTCATCCCAAACCTTCCGGGAATAAATAAAAGGTGGGCACACCTTATCATTTTCCATGCGCCTCGTGTTCTGAGCATTTGGGGACCCCGAGTCTGTCCACGGGAGAGCTTGGAAGTGTTGTGAAGTTAACACCGCAGAGGGAAGACGCGTTCACTTTCTCCAGAAAAAGGCTGTTTCGTTCCTGCTTCCCAGTGCTCATAGGTCCCAAATGACTTGCCTCTCAGACTTTACATGTAGGAAAATCTCTCAGCAATTCGCCCTCTGGGTGGTTGTTCAGGTTTATTTATTACGTTTTGAGGGGTCCCTGGAGAGTCTGTTGGAAAGACCCACCCCTGTCCCCACAGAGGTGACCACCATCTGCACATCTTCCGAGGTGCCCCATTGTACTTGGACCTCAGAGAGTGGCTGTCTGGTTGGGGTGAGGCTCAGGCTGCAGGGCACAACTCCTGGCCCCAGTTCTCTTCCTGGAATGAGGTAGAACCAGTGCCAGGTGCTGGGGACACCGTGTTTCCAGCCCTAAGGCCTGGCGACATTCAGCCCCTCTGAGCCTTGGCTTTCTGTCTGTGCAGTCGGAGCCCATTTGCTGTGCACTTACTTGGGTTACAGTAGAGCACAGCGCCCCCATCAGTCCTGCCATGGGGAACGGCACCTGCCATGGCAGCATCCTTGGCATTCTGGCTGCCTCCTCTTCTCCTCTCGTAGATTGCAGTCCCCCTGGCCAGGGGGATTCTGGGACAACGTGTTCCTTCCTATCACAGACCTCCTACTGTTCCCTCTGCCTGGAATGGTTTTCCTTCTCTGGTCTCTGAGGTTTCTTTCAGCTCTCAGCCCACCTGCCCCACCCTCAAGAGCCCTGCCTGATACTCTAATGCCAAGTCAACCTGTCCTTACTGTCTTTTCCAAGAGCCTCTCCAAATTGTAATGACATCTATTAGTGTTTTTGTTTGCCTAATGTCTGTCTTGTTGGACTGCAAACTTCAGGTGACCTGGGGGATGGGTTGTAGGATCAGCACATGCAAAGTCCCTGAGACAGGAAGGGGTAGACTGGGTGGAGGTGGTAGGAGTTCTTTGTGACCTGGAGAGGCATTGTCCAGTGGAAGACTGAGGAGAGTCAGTCAAGATCCAGGCTGGGGGGCTCCTCTGGGTTACAAGGAGACAATGTCTGAATCCCCTTTGGGAAGCACTGGTGTCCCTCCAGCTCTCTAGTATTAAGCAGGGGAGTTAAATGATCCAACTGAGTTCTTTAACTCCACTGTTTTATTATCTTTAATAAATTCTTCTAATGGTTTACTTAAAAAACAAAGATTACCAGACATTGTGGGAGGGTGGGGGTTGGATGGAGGATCAGAGATCCTTTAGGAGGTTGTGGCCCAGGTGCTGTAGCCGGTGGGGTACTGGAAGCAGCCCTGGTCATCTCGGGAGAGATTGAGCTAGTGCTTCTTCCAGGGGTGATCCTGGGGTGTGTGAGCTGCTGAGGTCTGCCCGGAGCTCACCCCCGTCTCAGGGTGTGACAGCCAGCTCTCAGCCCAGGGAGCGAGCTTACCTGTGATGGTGGTGAAGTGGGATGGGGAGGTCATCGTAACGAACGGTGGCGAAAGGTACTTGGCCTTCACACCCTCCTTAACCAGGAGGTCCATGTTGGGGGTGTCCACGTCCTGGTCATAGTCCCAGCGGAAGCCGTCGAAGGAAATCACCAGCAGCTTGTTGAAGTTCTTTCTCCCGGGGGCAGGGTGGCCAATGGCCCAGCCCAGCAGCAGGGGCAGCAGCAGCAGCAGCAGGGACCTGAGCCCCGTCATGTCCCCAGGGTGGTGCACGCACACACTGCAGAGTTCACTGGCCCACTCCCCTGTCTCCTTTTTTTATCTGTAGCTGAACAAAGTCCAAATTGATAATTCTGATGTGTACATATTTTCTCCCATTCATTAAGGCCGTCTTCATTTTAATGGTCGTTTCTTTCACTGTACAGAAGCTTTTGAGTGAGGGAGCCCCCCCTTGTTTATTTTTGCTTTTGCTTCCTTGCCTTGGAGTCCAGTCCTCAGAGACATCCCTGAGGCCAATTCATGGAGTGTTTTGCCATGTTGTCTTCTTTGTAGCTACATCCAAGTTTCAGGTCCATTCTGAGTTAGTATTTGTGTATGGTGTGAGATTCTTTTGCATGTGGCTGTCCAGTTTCCCCAACACCATTCGCTGAAGAGACTTTCCTTTCTCCATTGTATCCTGTTGGATTTGTGGTAGATTAACGGCTCATATGGGTGTATCTCTGGGCTCTCAATTCTATGCCATTACTCTTTTATTCCAATACGCACTGTTTTGATTACTACACCTTTGTATTATAGTTCAAATCCTAGGGTTTTGATACCACTGTTCTTTTTTTGGTCAAGATTGCTTTGGCTATTTGGGGTGTTTTGTGATTCCATACAAATTTCAGTAAAGTTTGCTCTATTTCTTGGAAGAAAACCATTGAAACTTTGATAAGGATTGCATTGAGTCTGTATGTGGGCAGATGGCCATTCTAACAATGCTAATTCTTCCAATCCATGAATAAGGACTATTTTATTTGTGTCTTCTAGTTCTTCTAACAGTAGGTTTTCTAGTATGCAATAAGCCTTTCACTTTGTTAACTTTATTTCTTAGATATTTAATCTTTTTGGATACTATTGGAAATAGGATTGCTTTCATTTCTTTCTCTTCTAATTTGTTGCTTGTATATAGTAACACAATCAATTTTTGTATATTGGCTTTATAGCCTGTTTCACTGTACAGATTTATTGTTTCTGATAGTTTTCAAGTGGCATTTTTAGGATTTTCTATGTACACTATCATGTCATCTGCAAATAGTGATAATTTTTCTTCCTTTCCAGTTTGTTTTTATTTTTTAAAGATTTATTTATTTATTTTTATGCAAGAACCGGTGTGCAGGCCAAATGAGCAGGAGGATGAGAGGACTCATCAGAGACAGAGTGGGGAACAGAACAGCAGGCTGACCAAAAACACTGCTGAGGGGAGCAGTGGGCACGACAGGAGTGGTCTGCTGCACCATGTGGGACCCTCGCTGGCCGGCTGGCCGGGATTGAACTGGCGCTGCAGAGGCTGTGGACAGCTTCACAGTGTGGCGCTCAACTGCCTGTGCCAGCAGGGGAGGTCCCTTCCTTTCCAGTTTGGATTCCCTTTATACCTTTCTCTTGCTTAATTTGTCTAGCTCGGACTTCTAATATAATGTTGAATAATGGGGCTGACAGCCAATATCTCAAAGAACTCACATAACCCAACAACAAGAAAATAAATAAACCTATCAAAAAATTGGCAGAAGATTTAAATCGACACTTATCAATTCTAAAGATGACATCTAGATGACTAACAAGCACGTGAAAAAATGCTCATCATTGTCTGTTATCAGGGAAATGTCTGTTATCAAAATCCCAAGGAGATAACCACCTCACACCTCTGAGAATGCCCTATGAAAAATACCAGAAACAACAAATGTTGGTGAGGATATGGAGAAAAAGGAGCCCACGTACTTTGTTGGTGGGAATGTAGATTGGCCCAGCTCCCAAGGAAAACAGTGTGAACGTTCCTCAAATTCATTAAAATAAAATTTACTGTATGATCCAGCAATTTCCCTCTTCTGACTACCTGAAGAATGCAGAAACACTATTCCCCCCAGCCCATGACTCCAGTGCCTGGAAACCCCTTGTCTACTTTTCCTGTGCTGAATATTTCATATAAATGCAATCATACATTTTTTGACCTTGTGTGTCTGGCTTTTTTCACTGAACATAGTATTTTCATGGTTCTTCTACATTGTAGTAGGTGTCAGCACTTCATTCCTTTTACTGGCTAAATAATATTCCACTGTGTGTATAACCACATCTTGTTCATCCATTCGTCCGTTGATGGGCATTTGCCTCCAGGCTTTTATTCATGCTGTTCCTTCTGCCTGCAATGCTTTTCCCTATTCCTGGCTATTGAGGTTGTCCTTCAAAGCTGATTCTGCCTCTCAGGCTTCTCTTGAAATCTCAGGTGATGCTTTCTCTCTGAGTTCCCTGTGACTCTAGTCCCTTAATGCTTGCTGAGGGGCCACAGACCAGCAGCATCACTGGGGAGTTAGGCAGAATTTCAGGCCAGACAGGTTGAAACAGTTCTGTATTTAATAGGGGTTCTATGATTCTCAGGCATACTGAAGTTTGAGAAGCTCTGGGCAGACTTCCTTTTAAACCGTTCTCAAGTTATTCATTGTCAATATCCACATTAGACCTCAGCTGGGCCACAGTGCCTGTGGGTGTGCAGAAGTTGTCGAGTGTGGGGTGTCTGGAGTGGATCCCAGCTCTACCGAATTCTACCTGTGACTTTGGGGAAGTTATTTAACACTTCTGTTTCTTCAGTTTACCATTTTCATGGGGATTGATTGAGTTAAGGACTAAGTGCTGTGTTAGCTTCTATTATTTTTGCTATTGTTAATGATCATCTTCAAATTTCCATGGTTTACCCCATTTGTTGATGTGCAGTGACTGCTCAGTAAATGCTTGTAACATGCACATATGACAATGTATTAGAGATTTTTTTTTTTTTGCTTGTAAGTCATAGGAATTCAGCTCCAACCCATTTACACAAAGAACAGAATTATCATGCACTGAAGAAGATGAGTTGGCACAGGACTGGCTTAAAGTTAAATCTAGGGTTCCAACATCATCAGCCTCTGTCTTGCGCTCTGTTTCTCAACTCTTTTTGCTTCTGTGTAGCTTGCATCTTTAGACAGTGTCTCTCCTTGTGGTGCAAGATGGTTCTGGAAGTTCTAACCAGGGAAATCCTTGAAGTACAAGCAAAAGCCTCAGGGGCGATTCTGATAGGTATGTCTGGGTCATGTGCCTATCTCTGAGTTGACCTTGAGATTGGAATCTGGCCAGGAAACTGCACTGGATCTTGTGTTTGTACTTGAGTGGGTGGTGTCCACTCTACCCAAACCAACTGAAACTACAGAATTGGTTTATAAGGTAGGGTTTGTGGTCCCAGAGGTGATGGGGCCCTTTAGTGCCCTTTGGGTAAGAAGGGTTTGCAGGCACCCTGTAGGATGGTGAAAACATGTGGCCCAAGGTTTCATGCTGAGCAATACTTAATTAGTCCAAGTCTAGCTACTTGCATTTTTGGGTAACCAATAATTTAACATTTCTTCTTTGTTCTGATTATAAAGACAACATATGTATATTTAGGGAAAATTATTGTGAAAAATTATGAAGAAAAAATCACCCATAATTCTACACTCAGATGAATTTTGCTTATCACTTGGGTGAATTTTGCCGGCCTTATTTCTACATGTGTGTGGTGGGGTACATACCAAACTGAACTTGTATCCCGCTTTTTTTCTCTTTTGACAGGAATGTTGCTTTTCGCTTTTTTTTCTCTGTTTTTCATTCTAGTTGTTTTGATCACCATGGTTTTTAATGTCTTCACCCTGCATTTAGTTTTGAACTTTCAAGAATTCAGATATTCTGTCAGTTAGACCAGCTGCCTCTCGAAGGCTGTTTGAGCTTGGAGGAGGAGGAAAGCCACCTGTGGAGCCAGACAACTCGGGCTTGCTAATTCTGGAATCATTAGACTGTCTGTCCTGTGAGCCCAGTCCTGCCTGTGCTCAGGTCACGCTGGAGTTAAGGATGGCGTTTCCAGCTTTCAAGGGCCGTAAACAAGAGAAAGGGTGTCTTCTGGAGAGACCCTGGAGTTCCTGGCAGGCAGGTCCTCTGAGGGAATGTGAGTGCTTGGACTCAGCTGTTTGGCTCTTTGGGACTTGGATGCTAACTGGTTAGGCCTGTTTAGGGGCAAGCCAATCCCTGTGGTCTGGAAAAAATATCCAGCTGTCACGCCAATCGGCATATCCACTGAAACTCCCCCAAAGAGCAACATTTGGCGTAGTCAGCAGAGTTTAGTGGAGGTGGCTGGCCGGGGAGAATTCTTATTATATTCGCTGTGAGGTTGGTGGTCATGGCATTACGATTGTCTTGATTTCTCTGGCAAGTTCTGGTGTGGAAGGCTCCAACAGACACTGCCGCGCAGAGCTGCCCCGAGAGCGAGACGAGGGGAGGGGTGTCAGGGGAGTGAGAAGGACAGGAATGAAGGCTGTGGCTCTGCCGGGATGTGAGAGAAGAACAGGAGACTGCCTGCGTGAATCATGAGAAATCTCTGATGGAATTAGCCGTGCAGAATGCGTGCTAAGTGCTGCTTCCTTCCCCTCATAGTCAGATGTTTTGGCCAAGGCTGGAGGGGGAAGAAAAGGCAACTCTGTGAGGGTCCCATCTCACCAAGCATGGAAGGAAGATTGCTGGAAAAGGTCTCAGAAGAGCGACTTGGGGATTCCTTGCACTCCCGGGGCCGGGAGGTCGGGTGCCATGTCCCCGGGTCTCTGCTGGTGCAGCGTGTGCGTGGCCGAGAGGTCAGCTCTTCGCCCAGCCCGTCCCGACCATCTGCTTTCTAAACTTGCTTGCTAGGTGGGCCCCTCTGTTTCCGTATCTGGCCCCTGTCGCCAGCTCACACTCCCCCTACCCATCTGACTTTTTTCTTGGTTTCTCCGCTTGTCACACAGTTCGCGTCTCAAGCTTCCCAGGCCCAAAGCCACCCCGGCGGCCCAGCTCTTGCTTTTCACTCCCTCCCTCCCCTTAATCCTTCTGTGCTGCCTGTGTTCCTTAAAGGGCATCCCAAGGCCATCAATCAGACCTTGCCCCCTCCCCCCATCAGCAAATAAGTCCCATGATCCTAAATCTCTTACATTGTCCGGTCTCTCCATCTTTGCTCCCCATCCCGACCAGGACGCCACCATGCCTCTACTGGGCTACAGCACAGCCTCCAGGCCAAGCAGTTGGCTGGCTCCTGCTCTCCACCCTCCGCAGCCTGCTTCTTGCCGGCCCCTA